ACTTGGATTTAATCACTCGGATGCAAAATGATGTTAGGAAGATCTAAAAATGGAATCTGAAGATAGATATAAGTACATAAATACAATTTGTAAAATGCATTACTTCAAAATGAACCCATCTCTGAATAAAAAGATCTAATGGTTGCTTTAATTATATTATAAATCAGTCCAGAATTTCAGAGATAGTTGAATGTACAGATTTACATATTAAGACAGATGGCAAATAAACCTGACAGAGTTATCAAACAAGCCTGAATGCTGGGAAAGCTTGATTAAAACCATGGGTAAGCCGTGCCTTGACACCAAAGATCAGAAGCTTAGTCATTGCATCTGTGACCTTCAACCAAAGACAAATCTACTTCTGGCTTTCACTTAATGCCTCCTTTTCAAGCAGGAAAGGTTACTTGTATTTGTCTTTGCTTAGTTTGTATTTTTTAAAGATCCCTTTATTTAATTCCCCCAAAAGAAAACAACCCCAAGGAGGAAAGGAAGGAAGGAAAAAAGCTTTGACCTTTGTGTGCTAAATGAGTTATCCTACCAAAGGCTATACGTGGTTATGTTCAGACTGCTTTGAATAACAACCCTTTAATGCCTCCTTGGCATTAAAGGAGCTGATAAATACAGCCTAAAGATTACTGAGAGTTTTTTTTTAATAGGGACAGATTTGATAAAGAAAGAAGGATAGAAAAGAGACTGCAAGGAACCCTTCCTCCTGCAAGTTTGCAAACTGAATGATTGCAATCCATATTCTCTCTTCATTTCACGCCTGCTGATAATGAGTGCCACTTCTACTAGTTACTTGCTTCCTTCAAGTGCTGCATACCTGAGAGATAGAAGCAAAGGTCTCTGGTTTAGTCCCCTGAATGTTTGTGGTAATCTCTCTGGTGATTACCGGGAGTGCATGATCCAAACCGCCCAGCAGGTGCTAATATTCCCAGGTGCGTGCAGCAGGTGCAGTGTTGAAGGCTAAATATGTGTTCGAATTTTGAATGCTACTTGCTGTCATAAAGAGCAGTGAAACGAAAAGATGAAGCAAAACTTTATGTCTCTATCTAAAAAAAACATTACTAGAACAAACAAAAGAAAGGTGAGAGATTGAAGGTATGGTTCAAGTGGCAGAGTGCCTGCCTAGTGTGTCAGAAGCCTTGAGTTCAAACCCCAGTACTGCCCAAAAAAGGAAGAAGAAAAGATAGAGGCAGGGAGGGAGAGAGGGAGGGATGGAGGGGAGAGAAAAGGCCATGGACATTTGACAATGGTATTCTGTTATTTGAACTTCTGCAGCACAGGTTCTTAAGGTGCACAAACATCATTGACAAGGAGTTAGCATATTTATGTGCAAATTTCTTCACTGTTAAAAAAGAAAAAGAAAAAAAAAGACTACTCAACACTGGAAGAAAAGTACTATTGATATAGTCTTATGAGCTAACTCCAACCATTATTTCTTGACTCCTTGATCATATAACCTGATCTGAAAACTCTGAGAGGCACTGCTGAACAATTTGTGGGTCAGCTTAGAAGTAGGAGGTGAACATTTCCTATGAGTCCATCCATTCATTGGTTTGCTCCCCTGTGTGTGGGGGAGATCCCAGTGATCACTTCCAGTATGCTTATAATGCTCGTGTTGCAGTACGCATGCTCAGTGACACCTCTGGCATGTCATGCTTCTGGGTAATTCTCACCCATGGATGGCAGGCCCAACCTGGCACTTGCTTTTAGCCAATTAGAGCATGGCATTAACAACTGAATAGACACTGCCTGGACTAGGTCACTTGCAATGGAAGAATCCATCTCAGTAGACCAGAGAGTTTCTCCTAATGGCTTAGAAGAACTAAGCTGCCATGGTATCAGGACTGTGAGATGCCAGACAGGAGAACAGTAAGAGACACCTGGGAGATGAATGTGACTCCATGTGTCAGCCACAGAGAGAATGACTAGTTCTACAAGCTCAGCTGAATTTTGCCGACAACCACCAGAGCTAGAGCAACCTCAGCCTCCAGAAAGGAACACAAGCAGCCCACACTTGATAGCAACTCTGTGGGATCCGAAACAAATATGGAGCTCCTGCCATACCACAACAGACAACAGAATCACATGGTTAGAATCCCCCTTTGTACTCAAATAATCACCCTCTCAAAATGTTTTGGCTTTGTCTTTTTTTTTTTTTTTTTTTTTGTCAGTTGTGGAGCGTGAACTCTGGGCCTGGGCGCTGTCCCTCAGCTCTTCAGCTCAAAGCGAGCGCTCTACCATTTGAGCCACAGCGCCACATCCAGTTTTCTGGTGGCTTATTGGAGATAAGAGTCTCACGGACTTTCCTGCCCAGGCTGGCTTTGAACCGAGATCCTCAGATCTCAACCCCCTGAGTAGCTAGGATTACAGGTGTGAGCCACCAGCACCTGGCTCAATTTTTATTACTTGTTTGTTTTTCATTTGAGACAGGATCTGTCTCTGTAGACACAGCTACCCTTAAACCTGTGCTGTTCCTGCCTCAGGATTCTGAGTGCTGGGATTATAGGCACCTACCACCGTACCCCCTCCCACCCCCAGGAGCTTCTTCCTCATTTTGTGGGTTACTATAAGTGTGTATAGAATCATAAAATTCAAAACTTCAATCTAGAATATAATTCTTTATGTGTGAGTCTCAGAATAAATGAATTAGGTTTACTTTTTTCCAAAATATTAAAATAACGTAGAGTTTCTTAAAAATTGCAAAAATTGTATGGGCTGGGAAGATGGCTCAGTGATAGAGCGCTTGCCTTGCATGCTTGAGGCCCTGGATTCGATTCCTCAGCACCACATAAGCAAGAAGAAAAAAGCCGAAAGTGGCACTGTGGCTCAAGTGGTAGAGCGCTAGCCTTGAGCTGAAGAGCTGAGGGACAGTGCCCAGGCCCAGAGTTCAGGCCCCACAACCAGACCCCCCCACCAAAAATTGCAAAGTATTCTTCCAAACTAGTTGTTTGTTGTTATTGGTTTTTTTTTTTGGGGGGGGGGTCCGGTCGTGGGGCCTGAACTCTGGGCCTGGGCACTGTCCCTCAGCTCTTCAGCTCAAGGCTAGCGCTCTACCACTTGAGCCACAGTGCCACTTTCGGCTTTTTTTCTTTTTGCTTATGTGGTGCTGGGGAATCGAACCCAGGGCCTCATGCATGCAAGGCAGGCACTCTGCCACTGAGCCACCTTCCCAGCCCTGATTTATTTTTTAATAAATGTTTTAGTTTTGAATATTTAGAGACTGATGGGAGTGTGGTGAAGAGGGTGCAGAGAGTTTCTGTGAATCCCAGACCACTCCCCCAGCATCAGCACCTGACATTACAGGAGCTTTATCACAGTGAGTAGACCAGTATTTATACCTCATTGTGAATAACTCCCATCCTTTAGTCAGACTTCCTTAATTTTATATGACACCTTGTTTCTGTCCCAGGAGTCTCTGCAGGACTGCATGTGACATTTAATCATCACATCTGTTTAGACTTCTCCTGGTTGGGACCACTTCTCAACCTTCACTTGCTTTTAATGACCTCAACAGTCTGGAACAGTACTGGTGGGATATTCTGTGGGAAGCTCCTTGAGTAGTAGAACTTCTCTCGTATCTTTTTCATGATCAGAGCCTGGTAGCAGGTTTGGGGAAGATGACCCCACAGGCAAAACCATGTCAAAGCCATCTGCTCTCGAAGACATATCACTGCTGATGGTAACCTTAAGTCCTTGGCTTCAGGTAGCATTGGGCAGGTTGCTCCATTGCTTTTTCTCCCTGCCTAGATTGAATACCACATGTGGTCCCAATAGGGGTGATGCTTTATGTCCTGAAAAGCAGAATGTCTACATGGTTCTGCATGGGACAGTTCATTCTTCTCATCTATTCAATTTTCCAATCACTTATGCATTTAAGTATAGATACATATTTCATACTTAGGTTATATCCCAATATAATGTTGTTTAGATTGGTTCAGCTTTGGCCATGGGGAAGTTGTCCTGTTGTCCTTTTGACACATAACCATCATGTGGACTTTTATTTAGTGCTATCACTCTCTGGTACTGTAAGATGCTCTGAGCTCCTTGTATACATCTTAAATATCTCCTTTGCCAGTCACAAGCAGGCATTTCTTCTCAGGACACTCTAATAACAATAAGCACACTACTCTGAGACCCTGATTTGGGAGTAGTGTACTTATTGTTATTAGAGTGTCAGACCAGCTTTCACTCACTTCAACAATCGAAATCGGAACCTTGGGATAGTCCTATATTCTTAAATTTATTCTCATTTATTTAATAATCATTATTTACAGAGATAATTATGCACCTGGCACTTTTAAAAAACATTTTTTAAATAGCATCTCATGTAACTCTTGTCATACTCTCATTGCAACAAAACATGCAGGCTTGTAACAGGTTTGTTACATGGATGAGAAAAAAAATCAAGGCATCAAGAGAGTTTGGATATGTGCCTCAAGGCATGTAGCTATTATGTGTCACAATCAGGAAGTAGACCCCAGAACCTGGATCCACATTTGGGGTACATGTTGCCCCACAGCAGTGAAGACTTCACAGAACTGCCAAAGGCAATTGAATTAACTCATTATCCTTAAGAAATATCCGTCATTGACCAGTAAGTGCCAGTCTGCTACAAATTAACAGATGCTTAATGCCATTTGAGAGACCTCTTGGATTAAGGCCCAATGTAATACATCAGAAGAAGATATTGTCATGTGCCCTCGAGAAGATTCTCACACTGCCTTGGATGAGGATGTCACATTAAAACTGCAAATTTAGCCTTATTATACTATAATGCCCAACGTGATAGGCAGTGACTTATTTATTTCATTTCTATCCATGGATTATTTCTGTACGTTTTTAAAATGTACTATCTTTTCCATATATGAAATACCCATTTATTCTATTCGTTGATAAAATATTTGGACAAAACTCTTGCAAAAACCATTGGACATAAATAAAGTCCCCACAATTTCCATTTGTAGCTAAGAAAAAAATTCTCAATGTAGGCTTACTTTATAGCTGCCCCTCGCAGATAGTTCCAAGAGACCAAAGTCGAGGTGATCTGAAAGAAAACAGGCAAAGGAATAGACTGAGTACAAATATCTCAAAGGACTCATTCTCATCTACCCCAGGGGCAGAGCATTGTGATTTGGGTTTGCTTGATGATAATGCTTTTGGGAAAAGGGTGTGCAGGTTAGGGTGGAGATTTCAACTCAGCAAAATAGACTCCCTTAGAACAAGAAGGCAGGGGCAAACATGCTGGGATGTTTGTCTTCTTTGTTGAAAGTGAGCACACTTCTCAAAAGGAGAGAGAGCAATGTGGCCTTTCTCTCCATTTTTCTTTTTTGTGGTCTTCACCTGTAGTTCCAAGAAAGCACCAAATGGATTCCCTTTCACATGTATATCAAAGGAATTAACATAGCACCTGCCATACAACAACAAGAGTTTGGGAACTGGCTTCCTTTTTCTGTGAGGATAACAGAGGAGCTTGAACTCCAGGCTTTTCAATTGCTGGGTAGACACTCTACCACTTGAGCCATGCCTCCAGCCCAACACATTAGTAACAAGTCACAATAATTCACTCATACATTGGTTAGATTCATAGGGCAGGACTGTGTAGAAGAAAAGAATGACCCAAGCTATCAGCCTGTGTGAAAACTAACTCAGCAAGTGTGACTGCAAAGGCTTCAAGGGAGAGGACATGGCTCACTGGGTCCCAACGCTACTGGAAATGTACCTGACAGCTACAAACCCTCCTTGAGAAAAAGCATACTTCAGTATGGCTGGATTGCTAGTCTAGACGATCTAATTGCTCTCTCTATTATAGCTTCAAAGGCATGACAAATGTCAAAAGCTCTCTGGGGAGATGTTTTCCAAAAAACAAACAAAAAAATCCCAACTTTTATCACTGAATTATTACATACCTGTGTTACTTTTCTTAGAAACAAAAATCCCAAAAAGTGTGTCGCTGTTTGTAGTTCTCAATGTCTTCCATTTTTATTTTTTAAAAAATCAATCGAAATAATTAAATAAGAAAAGGTATCCTACCTGATGTGTTAGGAAAAAATGTAAGTTTTGGATTTCTGTGTAGATGACAGTGTACCAATCATTGAAGACTACATCTCCGTCAATATGCAAAGGACTCAGGCGCCTCTTTGCACTTAGCAGAGAATTGGATTCAGGTAAAGGAGAACTGGGTGCTTTCCCAGAGTTAATAAATTTGTCCCTTTGAATATGGAACAGAGGAAAATATAATTCAAGAGAAAGGATCTCGGGCAAATTATTGAATCTCTACATGTTCCAGAAATGATAATGCTTATTTTACTTTTAATGTCAGCAAAGTCTGACGTAAGATAGTTTAATTTTTTACTTATGACAACTGTACATTTGATAGATATTACAGAAGAAGTTTAGCTTCACAAAATCTAATCTTTCCAAGCATCAGTTTGAACTGGAAAAAAAATCCATGAGATAATCTTTATGTATTTTCCTTCATCTTAAAATTGTCTTGTTGACATCTAAACACATTACAACTTGGCAAATGACATTCTAAGATCCTACATTGATAATATATAGGCTTACTTATAAATGTAGGCTTTTTAAATGTAGGGTAAATTTAGTATTTGTCACACTTTAAAATATATATAAACCAGGTGTCAGAGTGTCATACCTGTAATCCTGGCTACTCAGGAGGCTGAGATCTGAGGATTACAGCTAGAAGCTAGGCTGGACAAGAAAATCCATGGCACTTTATCCCCAATTAATCACCAAAAAAGCAAGGAGCAGAGTTGTGGCTCAAGTTCCTTGAGCAAAAAGGCCAGGCGACAGGGCTGGGGCCCTGAGTTCAAACCCCAGGACTGGCACAAAAGAGAAAAAGATGTGACAATATATGTAGTTAATTTCATTTCAGACTTATAGAATTGTTTTTGAGTGGAGAAATACCAGATTAAAACAGCAAAGTGAGTGTTTTGATCTGTCATGGGGACCTTCTCCAGCATTAGCCCATGTAGTCCAAGAAAGATTATCCAAGGTCTTAGACTCCAGCAGGGTAAGAAGGAGAATTCTGTCTGCTCTCTGTGCTATTGTCATAGTCCACAGATGTACATTACAAAACACCCTGTCTTACCACTTTTTATTTCCTCAGAGATCGATGAGACAATGATAAAGGTGGGGGTAATAGCAGTGTGGACATGGAAGAAGACAAAATTACATTGCCAACAGCGTATATGAACTATTCTTTACATAATGGCTGTTTCCATTAAAATGCATTCACAAAGAGAAAACATATAGAATTCTGCTCTCTGTATGTCCATCCAAAATTCATGCTGGAATTTAATCTCTAATGCAATCATTTTAAGAATAGGTCCTTTGAGAAGTAACCAGGTCACAAAAGCTCTTCCCTTCTGAATGAGGTGAAAGCCCTCTTAAAAGACATAGCACCCAACCTTTTTTGCTCTTTGTCCCTCCAAGTGAGGCTATAGTATTCAAAAGCAAACAGCCAGCCCTCACCAGACACAAGGCTGCCAGTACCTTGACCTTGAACTTCACAGCCTCCAAAACAGTGAGAAAATATGGCTTTGTCCTTTTTGTATTTGTTCTTTATACATTTTTTATTCCTTATATATTTTGTTCTTTATATATTTCCCAGTCTCAGGTATTTTTTATAGCAGCATGAACAGACTAAGACAACATGTATGTGTGTGTGTGTGTGTGTGTGTGTGTGTATGTACATATCAGATTATATATAATATATAGTATATATAGATATATATCTGCTATATATATTACAGATAGACTATATATTAGTCTATATATACTCTACATAGTATATACAATGTATATATAGTATATGTCTCAGACTATGTATAATATATAGGCATAAAATATATAGCATATATGCTATAAAATTATATATACCATATAATGCATGTATATATCTTTATATATTTTTTCATATATGTATATATGTGTATATGCTTTTGTTCTTATAGATTGTGTTCTCAATATATTTCCCAGTCTCAGATGTATGTATATATATGTATAAATATTTATATATATATACTATATTTAACATTATAATATAATAAAAGTAATAATATAATAACAGTTATATATTATAAAGCCTGTTATTAATATTATACTATACAATTATGATATAATAATATATTTATATAATATATGATCATATAAGAGATCTGATATATTATAATACATTATTTATATTATATATAGTTTGTTATATATATAAAATAGACTAAGATAAACATAGCCGATATGTATATATGTATATTATATGTATATTAGCTAATTACAATTCTAACTTCAGGGAGGCATGAGGATAAGGAAGAAAGAAGACAAGAATGGAAGTCACGGAGTCTGGGATCTAGTTTCACTTTAGCTGTTTGTTAGCAAACCTGACATAAGAGCAATCACTCATCACCAGTAACTGTCTACACAGCAAAAAGGCATGTATTATACTCTATATCTATATCAAACTTTTCAGTTAAGATTTTCATCAGGAACTTCATGATTTATGAAAAATCAAATAAAGCTTACCAAATTGCTTTTTCAATAGCCTTGGGTGAAGACTCATAATTAATACTCATATTTAAAATAATTTACATATTTTTGATGTACATATACAGATTTCCAGGTTTATGTATTCTTGAAGGTGTGAAAGCATGGAATATTTGGATTTAAAAAAGGGTTTGGAAAGGTTTGGAATACTATATGAAACTACTTATAGTCACCACACTATTTAGCCCCTATTCCTAATCATTTTATCAAGACATGATGCCATCCATTCACGCTGATGGCGAATGAAATAGTGGCTGGTCTGTCATTGTTGATAGGCAACTTTTCACCCTCAACATGGCATTTTCCAGAGCAGTATATTTTAACAAGTGCTTGTAAATAGAGTCCACAGCTCTTTACATTTAGTTTTAATTTGATTTAATAAGTTTGGTAATTTGTACTTCGGAATCTGCTTTTTCCCAGGAAGTGGAAAAACCTTAATATTTATTCATCTGTGAAAAAAAAATGGGCCATGTTCCAAAACACAATTAAACTGGAAACAGATGATAGTCATCCTCTCGGGGGCATTTAGCCTAAGCTAAATATACTCACAACTCAGCTGACCCTTGCAAATCCAGCCACCACCGGAACCAGAGCTGTGGCAAGGGCATCCCTGCCTTGCTCTGCAGTGAAAAGCCACGCATCCACTAAGGTCGGGGAGGGAGCACATCCAAACATCATGCAATCAACACTCCTGCATTTTACATCAATGTCTAATAAGCATAGCTGAAACCATTTCATCACCTGTTTCCTACTTCTAGGCTGAGTCCTTCAGTAAGGATTAATTTAGTTCTTTGCACTTGGGCAAACATGGGCATAAATGAGGATGCAACAGATTTAATAGGATTATAGCTTCCCTTAAAAAAAAATTGCTGAGCTAGGGTGGAAATGGTGGTGTTTAACATGATCAAGGCCAAGGGCTCAACCCCCAGTATAAAACTAAACAAAAGACAACCTACTACCTCACCATCATTATACATGGCACAAGCTCACTTAATCGAGGTCTTCCCCTGAGGACCCTTCAGAAGCTATGATTTGCTCTGCTGCCCTCATTCTCTCTTTCCCTCTCCCCATTGCTTTGGTTAACTGGAGATAAGTGTCACATGGACTTTTCTTCCTAGGCCAATTTCAAGCTGTGATTCTCAGATCTTAGCCTCCTGAGTAGCTGAAATGACAAGTGTGAGCCACCAGTACCCAGCTAGTCCTATTTTTTAAATGAAGGGTACCAAGAGTTAAATAAGTTAAATGAGATATCCAGGCTGGCACTCTACAAAATGGCAGAACTAACATTTGACTCTGACGAGTCATTAAGTAACTTCTCCGCACAAGTGTCCTCACTTCAGTTCACTGGGAAATTCTGGAAGTCCCAGCCCTTCAGGGAAGATTTTTATGTGATATATAAGTAGAAAGGCCAATGATATAACCTGTTCAACTTAGGAAAAGATAGGGTATGGGATAAGGTCATGGTGGGTCTCCCTAGAGAAAGGG